TGGTAGAAAGCAGAAAGGTATATAAGGCGTGAGGACCAGAAACTAGAAGCATTTGGCTGGTTAAGCATTTGGCTGGTTAAGCGTTCAGGCTTCTAGCAGCACAGTTCAGTTGAGAGCCATTCTGGATGAGGACTCAGAGGACTTCCAGTCTGAGGAAACAAGACCAGCTGAGGATCCGGCGAGGTGAGGCAGCTGTGGCTTGTTCTGTCTTTCTGATCTACCAGCATTGACTCCAATACCTGGCCTCGGGTTTGATTTTATTAATAAGACCTTTTAAGATTCCTGCAACACAATTGATAGTGTTGGGGTGTCTGCAGCACAGAGAACAGTGGATGGGGAGGGAGGGGGCAGAACGCTGAGGTCTATTCTAGTCTTTTCCAACTTTTACACTTCCCCAAATAAACAATATGATTAGTTAAGGAGTCGGTGAGATTGCTGACGTCTGCACCTGTCAGTCTCACATCAGGTAGGATGAGATTTAAAATGCAAAACCCACTGTGCTCAGTGGTGAATGCCTTTAATGACAGAACCCAGGACCTGCAGGCAGGAGAACCGGAAGTTCAAAGTCGTCCTTGGCTATGCCAGGAGTTCACCTGCATTAGAGAACCTATCTTAAAACCAAACCGACGAAGGGCTTCCGACATAACGCCTTCTTGACAGTGAGCTGCGTCTCTGCTGAGGACGCAGAACCGTCAAGCTGATCGGATATTAATACGCCTCCACAGTACGGGCCTGTGAGATGGCTCAGCACTTGCTGCCGAGCCTGACAACTTGATTTCCATCCCCACAAGGTGGAAGCAAAGAAACAGCTCCTTCAAGATATCCCCTGGTTTCTACATGAGTGCTGTGTGCCCCTCAAATAAACAGATAATTCTGTAGCCCAGGATGCTACTCATGACAATCCTCCTGCGCCCGCCTCCCACATGCTGAGAGTACAGATGTAAGCGTACACATGTCTTCATGGTTTTGTTTTGTTTTATGTTTTGCTTTTGTTTTCTGAGATAGTCTTGCTAGGCAGTTCAGGCTGGTCTCAAACTCAGCATCAATCTGCCTCAGCCCCCAAGTGCTGGGATTACAGCTGTGCACCACCCTGTTGGACAGCAGTGTATCGAACCCTCGACCCCCGGCTGCAGTAGACAGATAAGGTCAGGCATGCAGGACGAGATACTGCGGCTGCTTCCTGCTGCTCATTTCTTCTGTTAAATGCCATTTGACGGTTTAAATGATGGAAGAGACGTGGAGTTGAATGAGATGTGAACTGGCTTAGAAAGAAAGCACAGGGTTTGGGAAGGAGGACCAGAAAGAAATCAACTATTGCTGCGTGAGCATTTTTCTCATGATAATGGAGGACAGAGAATTAAAAAGGGAAGGGACAGGAAAGGGGAGGGGGATATGTTGGGGGTGCATTGGAGTGGGAAGGGAGAGTTTGGGGGTAGATATGATC